CAAATTCATTTGTGCAAAAGCAAGCTACAGAATCATGATCACATACGTAATCACAAAATAATCCAACCACATCGCCAAAGTCCTTACTGGGACTGCAGAAATGAAAAAAAGTAAAATCATCAACATAATATTCACACCTACCGCTCATTCATAAAATAGTAAATAATCGGATTGAAAACCGTCGAGCTCATTCCAAGCCAATAAATATTCAAATAAATGTACAATGAGGTTTTTCGATCAAAACTCGCACCCAAATAATTGTACAATACGGAGAAATAGAGTTGGTATGGAAACCAAAGAAACATGAATATGAGTACAATGAGTGCGAGCATGTTCGCTGCCTGAAACGAGAACGGTTCAATTTGATACACACACGACAATGGCAACTGCTCCACAACAACTATCCATAGGACAACTGTCATCCAAAACAATTGCCCTTTGACAACTTGACTCTAAGATATTCTAAGATATTCACAAATTGTCTTTTTTATGATCAGTATCACGATTCATTATTATTTAGGAGTATTTACATTTATTATTCTTTATTATTCATTATTATTTACTACCATTGTTGTTATTTTTAGTATTTCTATTAATATTATCATTATCGTATTATTATTATCGCTGCTATTATCTTTAGAATTATTACTATCATCACCATTATTGTTAATATTATCCTCATTATTATGATTTATCGTTATCAGAACCAGTACCATTACTGGAATAATTATCATCCGATGAGATCATGTTTACTCCAGAAGCGTTTTTGGCTTGAATGGTAGTTGAATCTTATGTGGTGAACGATTGCATGCTCTTAATGCACAATCCCTTCAACTGACAGCACATCCTGGGCAGATGANNNAAATTTCCGTAAAGCTGATTAATCTAAGTATGTCTTGATGACATACTCATAATAGGTCACGACATGTCAAACAATTGATGCATCGAAATAGTCCACATAAAATTTCAGTCAATAATACGATGCCTACACCAATGGCATGATGTCACTATAATAATAGCGATAATAATGGTAGTAACAATAATAATACCAGCAATAACAACGGCAATAATAATAGCAATGATGAAAAGAACTTATATTTGTGAAAATGAATCTCTACGATGGACACTTGTCCGAGAGGGGACAGCTGTCTTGGATGGCAATTTCTCCAGAACCAAATAACTTGTGTGATAAGGATGAGCGAAACTGCAGTGAAGTGAAATGCCAGAATCCAAGGATACATCGTGGTGCTAAGGGACAGGAAACAATCTGGTTGGAATCAAAGCTGTTGAGATTTTAAAAAAAAATGGGGTTGGTTCTCTTCGACGGAATAAACGCTATTCCGCTGACGATGCTGAACTTACTCTTCGTTTCGCTGTGAGCATCGCTTGATGTCGCGTGTCACCAACCGACTCACTCTTTCTTAGTACCAAAACAACGCGACCGTACGTGAATATCAACACAACTAGCGGCAGTGCATAATTGAGAATCATCAGAACGTTATTGTATCTGTAAGTTCCTTTGCGTTAGCTCGCCTCCACAGCAAATGACTATATTCATATCGATAGTCTGAATGCAACTTCTTCAAATGGATCATGAACAGTGTTTTAACTGGATTTAAATCAATTGTCTGAATGCACGTGAACGGTTTAGAATCAAACGTCATCAATGAATTGATGACATTCATAGGCTTTTTTCAGCGCATAACGCTGAAAAAAGCATATGAATGTAGTCAATTCATTCGAATAACATTAATTAAAAAGAAACACTCGCTAGCATTAAAAACGTCTTTCCATAAGGTTATTTTCAACGCATAAAATGCACCAACATGTTGGTGCATTTGATACGTTCTTCGATATATTGATATGTTTTTCGATCAGAGGAGTTTTTTTTTTTTTGGATATTCATCCGCGGATCTCGAACGAAAGAGAGGAATGTTAATAATTTCACTGAATATCTTCACAAATGAGCGAATCAAATGAGGATGCTGCCCAAGAATGTGTTTTTTGATGTCAACCGAATGACTTTACAATTTCTCATCATTAT